CAAAGACTGTGAAAGCAGAAAAAAGCGAATTAAAAAAACTGAGAAAGTAAGATAATTGTGCAATGAGCTGATCTCTGTCATAAGTGCCTTGCCAAAGTAACTCACTTTGTTACGGTACAGAGTGACGAAATGCCAGAGTGAACAGAAATATATATCTTGCTTTACTGGTCCACTACATTCAAGTCAAGTGGTCGATCTCGAGCACCTAAGAAGACCTAGGAGACCCTCTCCTTTGGATAAATAAAGAGAAAGAGATGGTGGGTTGGAAAAAGAAACAGGAATCCATATAAAAGGTGATGGAGAAGTGCAGAGGGACCCTCTGGACATGATGTCAGTGTAAGACAGAAAGACAAGAACCTCAAAGTAACGTTAATAATGTACTTTTCGCAACACGGATTTCTTATCGTGCTACGAAAAACACAGAGAGGCAGTAACACGATATTTCATTGATGTCCACGGTTTCATAGTAGTTGATTCTCATTTTGTTTTGAAGAGTCTTACATCTCTTCTATATATCTGCAACCCATCTGTGTTGTTTTGTGATACCTGTACAACTGCATGGAAATCGTTTGAACTAGGTGTGTGGCTGGAAGGCTTATATAATACATGCAACTGACAGATTGAATTCAATTTAAATGTAAACATTTAATTTAAAGTAAAATGTTGCACTGGTTTAAATATTGAATAAATTACTTGACAATTTGGAGGAAATGCATTCTATCTAAGCTTCCCTCTCTATAGCCAACTTGCACACCGGACCTTTTGGGAACAGCCTTGCAAAAGCTTTTCAAAACTTGTCACAACGGTTTTCTATTTGTAGTAGGATTAGTTCAGTAGGATATTCAAGTTTTAAAAATCCTTCGTTGTTTGGGACTGTCCCGCATGCTGCAGGACATCCGGCATATCCCTGCCCACTAAGTGGCTCCGGCAGCCGTGAGCTGTCCCAAACCCCACGAGGAGCAGCAGAGCGAGGAGGAGGAACAGCGGTCAGAGGTGAAGCCTAAAACAAGCGTGGAGGTGCTCCTGTAACCATCAGCCGCGAAGGCAGTTATGAGCAAACACGCTGTTTGGTTGTGGAAACCATTCCCAGCAGCAAACTTAAAAGGCTGATCTGCTGATCGATCCTTGGGTCCTCCATGACCTGGATCAAAGGGAAAAAAAAGAGACAGAGAGAGAGAGAGAGAGAGAGATCCCTTTTTATTCCAGCTGAAGGGCAGATTTCTAGCTTAGATCACTGACAGCAATGGTTTGAAGGAGTCTTCTCCACTATCTTTTTCCTTCAAGTCATTATTCCCTTTGCCTTTTTGGTCAAGCTGCTCATAGACTGAAGAACTCTCCCAGGGTCCACTGTCACATTCTTCCTTCTGGAAAAGAAATTTAAAAAAAAAAAAACCAATGTGGCCTTGCTTGAAGAATTTGTCCTCAAGCATCTGGTGAGCCAGGCCTCCTCACTTCTCTGGGGGCAGGGAGATGTGCCCCCCAGTGGAGGCCAGAGGCAGGGCACACAGGACCCCCTGTCGTGCTGGCACTCCACTCTGGTCAGTCCTGGGCACGTGGGCACCGTGGTGTCCATGCCTGCGTTCTCCCAGCTTCCGAAAGACTCCATCATCTGGACACGTGATGAGAGGTGGAGAGGGTGTTCCTGGGGAATGGAGAGCAAAAAGGAGGAAGGAGGAGAGAGAGTGTCCAAGCAGAGAAGGAGAAGGAAGGGGAGCAGAACCCAGAGTTGGTGAGAGCAGGGGAGAGGGAGAGGCTGCCCTGAGCTCTCCCGTCTCAGGGAGGCCACATGGTTCCGCCACCCGTGCTCTTCCACCACCAGGTTCTCCGCAGACTCTCCCTAAAACTCCCAGCGTGGGCTGCAAGATTTGGGATCCATGGCAGCTCAGATCTGCCAACACTTCGAGAGCGGATAATGACATACAGATTGTTTTTTTCCATCTTTGGGATTTGGAGCTGCCTGGAGAGTTGCAAAAGCCTGCCTTGTTGTAAGACTATTTCTGAAGGCCCTCACTGTCTGATCACCGGCTCTGAGCTGCTGGCAACAGTGGCGCAGCTGTCCAGGGTGGCAGAGACCACCTGGGATATGGAAATTACCAGAAGCCCCGTTTTGCTCTTGCCAGAGCACCCGAAGCATTCTGGGAATTCGGATTTCTGTTGTTTCTCTCAAACGGCCCCTGGGGGACCATAAGCAGCAAACTTGGACCACGTTTTGCCAGAAAAGCCCAAAAGGATGATGGCTGCTGTTGTCAATTACTGGCATTTCAACAGGCCTTTATTTTTATTTCTAAGTATATTTGCACAGCTAGGAAGCGCCTGCTGACAAGGATGAGATGATAAGCTGTATCTGTGCCAAAACAGGACTAGAGAAACAGGCTTATTCTGCGAATGGCCGGCATCCTGGGAGTCGGTGGTAAGAAAATCCTTTTTCTCCAGGCAACCTCTGCTCTGGAAACATGAACACTTAAAACAAAATAAGGCTTGGAACCCCCATCTCGTAACACAGTGCACGCACACAGTAGGTTCTCAGTGAGAGCATGTGGAAGGGAGGAGTCGGTGCAGACGGGCACGTCGAAGATGGGGAACCAGCCGCCCAAGAGAAAACTGCTCTCCCCAGAGTCTGAATGCCAAGGCCCTTACTCGCCCCAGAAAGGGCACCGTGCAGCGCCGGCCCCGAGGTCGTCCGTGGTTCTGCGCCATGTGCTCCAGCCACGTGCATGCCAGCAGAAGGAGCAGGTGCGGCCCGAGTGTCACCTTCCCAAGCAGGGACATCGAAGCTCCGTGCTCCTCAGTTCTGTGGTTTCCTTGGACAAGAATGGGATTATTGGTGAACGAGGCCAGCATCCTGGGTGGTAACAAAAAAGGAAATTGGTAGAAAATGCATCATCCAAGTTGGATTAACTCCACTCTGTGGCCTGGGCAGCTTCCCAGGATAGCCAGCCAGACGCAAAGCCTCTGGGGACACGAGGCTGGAATGTGTGTGATGATGCTGAGGGCGGTGAGAGGCAGGAGGGGCTCCGCACAGGCTGCCCCTGCCCCTCAACCTCCCCTGCCATCCGTTACCTCCAGGCCAACCCCAAGGCCACTGCACATTGGCCCATTTACCTAATGGATACATTCTTTCTCTATCAAAAGCCCACCACGTGGAATGTAAGTAACCCAGCAACTTCTTTCTTATCCTGCTGCTTATCCCCTGCGTACTCACTCTGGGCTCCATTTGTTTTTGGATCAAAGCGCCACTGGGTAGCAAAAGCTACATTATTCTCTTCAACGGCTTGTAAGCCAAGATCCTGACCATTCTGGTTTTGTTGTTGTTGTATTTGTTTGAACTATTAACCATTTTCCGTGCTGAGCTTTTACAACTCTGTTTACTATGAGTTCCTCCGTGTGGGTGTCTCCCCCATTCCCAACCTACAGGCTGCCGTGTGAGTGGTAACTCACCACTCCATTACCAGTACAAAGCCACGGATTCGTGCACTGGGGAGGCTTTAATTTGAAAACACCAGTGAGGATAGGGGGAGGGGAGGAGAGAAATATATTTATGGGAGGGCCAGTGGGCTAGTGAGACCAAAAAAATGTTGCTAAGTAGATGGAGATCCTGAGAAAAAGGCCACATCACCTGCTCCCTGCAGGATGGTGTCCTTGGGCGGGGTGAGCTGATTCTGCAGTGTTTACTTGGTAGAATATCCATCCTTGTGGTCTCAAGACAAGACTGCTCCATCCAGCCCTCCTTTTGTTCTCAGTACTTCTCACCTCTTTCTCACTCACCTTCCTCTGGTCCTTGGGCTGAGCTCACAACTTAGCCAGGATTCTGTCAGTTGCAAGTAACAGAAATCCAGCTCACACTATGTTAAGCGAAAAGGGGATGCGTGGGTTGCTGTGTTACAAAGGCGATATGGGAGCTCTAAGGTCAGATGAAAAAGGATCCAGGTGCCTTGTGACTGGAGCCAGGATCTCCCCTCTACCCTGCCGCCTCTCCCCCGGTGTCACCGTCACCTCTGCTGGTTGTTGTTTGGCTCCATTCTGTAGGTGGGAGCTCCACGTACTGGGAAGATGGCACGTAAAAGCCCCATATTCTCTCATCGTCCCAGTGCCTCGACCCCAGAGAGAAGAATTTCTGTCTCACAACTTCCATATACAAGCCCAGAAAAAGCTGTCTAGCTCAGGGCTAATCGTACCCAAAAGAACAGAGTGACCTGATTGTCTAGTTTTGGTCCTGAGTTTACCTGTGGCCCTGAAGCAGGATTTATTACCATAAGAAAGGAAAAAAAAACACACATGCCAGGCCATGAAAAATAGCAGTTCCCATGGTCCTGCCTACCCGCCCATCCTCAGCCTTTCAGCTGAGGGTGAAAAGTATGAAGGCCCCAAGCCTGACCCGAAATGTAACAGCAAATTAAATCCTGCCTGGAAGAATTACCTGTCAGTCACTTAGCAGATCACTTGGACTGTCTCTGCACCTTGCTGAGAGCATCACTTGTCTCCTGAGAGTCTCCATTATAAAGACCAGATGTGGAGTCAGCCCGCGGGCTTGTTCTCAGTTCTGCTTCATCCCCTCCAGTTATCTCAGCAGGTTAATGCAGTTCTCTGACCTTCAATTTCTTCGTGTGAAAAGGCACAATAATGCCTCCCTTATGGAGTTGTCATCGGCGTTAACGGGACAGTTAGTGTAGGTGGCAGGCTTGTCAGAGAAGAGGTGGCTGGTGTTACCATTATGGCCCCAAGGCGAGCGGTGGCTTTCCAGGAAATAATGATGACAGATCCTGGAAACTGGCTCACACACAGGTGGTCACATGAGTTTCTCAGACACGTGCTCTCAGAATTTTGCATAGTTGCTTGGAGCAGACAGGTCCTGAACTCCCCCATTGCTGTGCAGGGCGTGGGGCAGGGGGCTGGAGGGAGGCACCAGCCCAGTATTCCGTCCCATGCATATTCCCAGTCTCCTGGACCTCATCCTCTTTGCGTTTTTCTCTCTCTCTCTCACTCTCTCTCTGCACTTTCAGGAGTGTACACATTTCTGTCCAGCACCCTGAAGTCTCTAGAAGAGAAGGACCACATCCACCGTGTCCTGGACAAGATCATAGACACCTTGATCCATCTGATGGCCAAGGCGGGCCTCAGTCTGCAGCAGCAGCACCGGCGCCTGGCCCAGCTCCTCCTCATCCTCTCCCACTTCAGACACATGAGGTGAGGCATCCTCGGTTTCCCACGGCGGAGACGTAAAGAGATCCAGCCAATGTGTTACAGCTGGCCCAGGAAGGGCGGATGCCTGAGTACAGCTCCCACACTTGGGATAGTTCCGGGCACATAATAAACATAAGTGACGTGGGAGGACCGTTGAGGGAGGCAGTAAATCTGTCTGGGGTATGGGCAGGTGTCAGAGAAGCTTCAGAGAGGAGGGGATGGTTACGCTCAGTTCGCAGCACACGCAAGATCGTACAAGGGAGAGTATGCAGTGTGCAGGGCAGGGGAGAGGAGCAGGGCCATGTTTGGTTGCTCACGTTGTCTCACCCAATCAAGGGAGCACTCTCGTGCTCGGAAGGCACTGGGCACATCGCCTTTGTTCCTGCGTCGTACCTTCTCCCCCGACTTACAAGTGGAGACTCTAAATGAGAGACTCTGGGTCCAAATGCCTCAACGTTGACACCTCCGTCCCTCACAGTCCATTCCTGGCACCCCCACTGCCATTACCGGGGTCCAGGCCACCATCAGGTCCTCCTGGATTTCTGCACCGGCTGCCCTACGCGTCTCCCTGTCTTCAGTCTAGATCCTTCTAATCCATTCTGCACAGCAGAGCCGGCGGGATCGCCCTAACACCAAACCTGACCACGCTGCTTTCCTACTTCAGACCTTGGAACGGCTTCCCGTGGCTTTGAGAGGAAAGTGTAAACCCCTTTATTTGGCTTAAGTTACTTCTTACAATCTAGCCCCACTTCACTATCTAGGACTTCCTGGTAGCCTGGGCCCTGGCCAGAAGCGACTGTTTCAAGTTGGGGTCGGGGAGGGAGGATCTCTTTCAGGCCACAGCTGGGCTGTGCAGGTGTTTATCTCCTCTGGGCTCGCTCACACCCCTGTGGGGCAGCTGACTGAAGCTGGGCACAGCTGGGGACTCTGCTTCAAGCTGCAGGCCTGCAGGTGGGCCAGGTGACCACCCCGAGTGCCTCTTATCCTCCGTGTACCCACCAGAGAGTCATACGTGTTCTTCTCACGTTGGTGGCAGAAGCACAGGAAAGCGAGTCTGTTTGGGGAAGTGCTTTTGAATCTTTTCGCTAAGTCATGTCCACAGACATTTCATTGGCCAAGCAAGCCACGTGGTAAGGCCCAAAGTCAAGGAGCAGGGACACATGGCACAGAGGCGAAATCTCTCTGAGCGGTCAGCTCACCTGTCATAGCTTAGATGTCACTCCTCGCAGGAAGCATCTCCTGACCCTTAACACCCAGGTGGGATTCACAGCCCGATGTGAATGTCAACAGTGGGGTGAAGTGATAATGTCCCTGAGTGATGAAGTCTATAATGTGACCAGGACCCTATGAATGAAAAAGAGAATCCTTGTCTTAGTGGCTACAAGGGAAGGACCAAGGTGTCTGGAAAGAGTTGGATTAATTTTTAAGAGGCCTTCAAACTTTTAGGGGCCTTGAGACTATGACTCACACAGCAAGAAGTTCATCCCAGCAAAGTCCGAGGTGCCTCCTTTTCTGGAGAGAACTTAGAGAATTGTTAGCTTTTCGAGAAAATAAATGTATCTTTCCTTCTTTGTATCCCTTCCCCCGCACTGCTGCAAATGAAGTCTTACACGGCCCATGTGTTCACGTTATCACAGAGTGAACTAGTAAATAAACAAATTAATGAATGAACAAACTCATTACTTGAGGATTTCCCCTACACTATAAATTTGACATTTGCAAATGGTGGCTTCCACTTGGCAAAGTTGGGGAGACAGTGCTTGCAGTCTGTGTTCTCAGGGAGTCCCCAGGAATCCCTGTGTCACAGATGAAGGACTTAGAACGGCCAGGCCAAGTAGGTGACTGCATTCAGAGTGCACATTTTCAGTCCTTTCCCATCTGTTTCTTTTGATGAATATTACCCAGAGAGAAGAGGGGGGTGGATCAGAATAACATAATCATCTACCTAATTTCCTGGCCAAGAGAGTAACCTTCCCCTTGAAGAAAATGTATCAGCTTGGACTCTAAGCTCAGAAGTTCACTGATGTAGAAACCATGTGTCACAGAGGAAGGTTTTTATTTGTTGGTTGGAATTGCTGAATTTTCAAATCCATTAACTGTCAGCATTGGCAAGACTAATTAGCTAACACAAAATATATCTGCACTGTATATACAGGCCTTGCTAGCAACGTGTGGCCAAGGGTAGCAATGGAGAGCTCTCTTCAGTTCCTGTTTGCATTGTGCGAAGAGCTGTTGCAAGCTTTGAGCTGTCGCTGTCGCCACGTGTGTGCTCTCTCTCCTCCCCCCTCCCCCTCCCCCTCCCCCCACCTCCGCGTGCACGCTCTCACGCACACAATATTGTGGTGTCTCGTTTCAGCCAGTTGAAATCACAGAACTCTGTTGTGTTAAGCTTGGCCTCAGCCATATGTTGTTATTCAGAGCATTTAACACCAGGTTTCATCTGATAGTAAATATGATTCATTAGGTTGCAAGAGGAAGACGGTGTCAGATCCGGGGGGCATTTAACTTTAACAGCATTTTAAATGAAAACAGAAACAAAAAAAGACCAAAACACCACTTAGAAATGTAATTTAGGTGGCTGTGTTATACACAACACGAATCACTTTGATGCTGTGTTTTCATGGCACGTCTCCAACGCGTGCTAACGTTTTCCGTACTTAAAAACGCAAGTGTTTTTTAGGACATGCTCTTGTCTGCCTACTCATGATACACAATTTTTTTAAAAAGAAATTTCGAGCTAGATAGCAGGTTTTTTTGTCCCCTGGTGGTGGCATGGTGGCGAATGAGCAGAGCAGTAGCTGGTGGAGGAGTGTGAAAAGGAGAAACAGCTTTGCCTACATTTCCTGTGTACCTCCAGCCCATATTTTCTGAGCATTTGCCATGTTCTTGCCGCTGTTCTGGGCTGACAGGATGGACAAATTGCTGCCCCTCACAGAACCTGCACTGTGTGTGTCGGGGTGTGTGTTGACCGTGTGTCTGTGCGTGCACGCGTGCATGTGATTGGGGCCAAGAATAAACGTACACACATGCACACGTACACACACACACACAGAACTGCAGGTTGTCGTAAGTGCTGGGGGGAAAGCAGAGTAATGTGACGGAGGACGGCTGAAGCGGCGGGGGCTGGAGCCACTGCCACTGGGGTAGTGGAAGTCCTTTCCGGCGGGGTGGCATTCGAAGATTGGAGGGAAGTGCATCTATGTGGGGGGAGCAGCAAGTGCAGACACCCTGAGTCTGGAAGTAAAGAGCTCAGTTCCTTTAGGGGCAGCAGGAAAACTAGTGTGGCTGGACAGAGAGGGTTGGGGAAGGCGGGAGGACGAGCTCGGAGGGGTGGGTGGACGCCACCTCTGTTGGACCTTGTAGAGCACGGACAACAATTTAGATTTCAGTCTGAGTTAAATGGGAAGCAACTGGAAAGTTTTAAGCAAGGCAACCTCTTGAACTGATTTAGGCATTGAAAAGGCTCCCTCCTACCTGGCGGTATAGCTCATCTACTGTCTTTTTAGCCACAATGGTGATAAGAGAGGAATAAAGTCACCTGCCTAGTCAATCTGCAAATGTCTCCTGAAATAGGAAGAAAGACTGGCGTTAAGTTTCTCCAGAGTTTTTCTTCCTTGCCCTTCCCAGGAGTTTCAGCAGTCCTGGGGCTCAGGAGGGTCTAAAGCAATCCTGTCTGTGTCTTCCCACCCGCAGTAACAAAGGCATGGAGCATCTATATAACATGAAGTGCAAGAACGTGGTGCCCCTCTACGACCTGCTGCTGGAGATGCTGGATGCCCACCGCCTGCATGCCCCCTCCAATCTTGGGAGCACACCCCCAGAGGACCTGAACCAGAGCCAGCTGGCCAGCTCGGGCTCAACTTCATCGCATTCCTTGCAAATGTATTACATCACCGGGGAAGCAGAGAATTTCCCCACTACCATGTGAGAGCCCCCACCCACTCACCGTCTCCTCCAAGGTCCTGAGAATCCCTGTTGCACTTTACCCACTTCATGCATCACTAGAGCCGAATTCTGCCGCTACACACACTCTGGCATGCGTTCACCACTGGCTTTCTCCTATGGGTGGCCAATCGTTTGCTTGCTCAGTTCTTCGTGGCACAACTTCTTTTGGGAACAGCCAAAGGGATTCCAGGGCTAATTTCTTTGTAACAGTTCTCTGTCTCCCTTTGCTATGTTACTCAGCATGAGGATTCCCTTAGCGTTTCCTGACTGAGTTCAGTCTACTTGCTGGGCTCAGACGATTGTGCACTTTAGCTGTTTGTGACCCACACGCCTGGAGAGTGGACATTTCACCTCGATGAATGCGAAGCACTTTTTTTTTTTTTAATGGATCTAAGAATAAGCCACAGGGAAGAGTTGAAAGTGGCTCCTTTAATTACTAACTTGGAGAAAGCTAGGTCCAGGGTTCATTACAACATCGTCTTGTATTCCTATAGTAACATATCATCTTATTAAAGTAATATCTAAAAGCTTTTGCTCTGTTGCATGGCTGTAGCAAAATATCTGGTGATTGTCTACCCATTTTCCCTATAGGAATACAAGATGCACACAGGGAAGGAAGATCCCCTAGTTGTCAAGATTTTGCCAGCTTAATACATTGCACCTTCAGAGTTGCTGAATGCTATACTGTTGGCTTTTGAGAGCACTATGTACAGGTCATGGGTTCCAGCTAATTCTTGCTTCCCATGGGCCCACAGAAAACAGCAAGTTGATCCCAGTTAAGCCGCCTCCCCTTGTACCAGTTTCCTTGGGAGTGATAAATTCTTGTCTTTTGTGTTTGTTTTCATTTTATAAGAGAGAGCCCTCTCCCCCAGGACTTGCTGCAGTAAATGGGCTTCATGACCTGTTCCGGTGTGATCTCACACTTATCAGCAGAGGGCGCTCTACTCAGATCTTCCCAGTGTGTAACTTACACAGAAGGTGAATTAATTAGTCAGATGTGGTGCCCAGCCCATGACCAAGGGCAGTTTAAATGAGTGGCACCCTGGTGACACTTCTACCCTGGGGAAACTGGGCTAAATAGTAAATGTGCATGGTTATTGCAGATACTAGAGACCAAAGAGAAAACAGGGCTGAAACTGGAGAAAAGTGGGAGGTTCAGTTCAGGGTGGCACACTCTGAGGCAGGAAAGGAGGGCCAGGATGGGAGTACTTCCTACTCAGGCTGCCTGGGGCCTGGGCAGACCACACCTGCCCTTGACTGTTTAGAGTCCATCCAGAAAGCAGGTTTTGGCCTTGAGGGGAGGGGAAAAAAAAGAAAAGGAAAAAAAATCAAACTTCCCCCAAAGCAGATTTCATTAAACTTCGTAAGCCAAGAGGGGGAGACCGGAGTTGGACCAGAGGACTCTGACCTGCCGGTGAAACATGAAAGGCTCACTCCCGCCACAGGGCAGCCTCCCTGGCCGCCTGCTTCTCTAGAGCCGTGATGAGTTGTTTCCCCTTCTCAGCTCAAAGGGAAGACTGGCTTCTCTGGTGACCACATTGTCTGTAACTTGAGCCCCACTGAGAGGCAAGGTGTTAGCCAACAACCCAGCCAAGCTTCTCGGGCTCCTCTTGGGTTGCCTGCTCCAAAAGTGGATTTCACTCATTTCTGACTCCCCAGTACATGGTCACCAAAGGACTGGGAAACTGGGAAGGCCAGAAAAAAAAAAGATTTTTTTTTCACAAGTGCATCGAAATTTGGGGGCAATTTTGTGTATCCGCAGTAAGAATGTTTAGAACATAATTGTTTTTGTTTTTGTTTTTGTTTAAGAAGCACCTTGTATAGTATAATATATATATTTTTGAAATTGCAATGCTTGTTTATCAGACGATTGAATGTAGTCATTCTGTTCTGGTTTTAATTTGACTGGTTTCACATGCAAAACAACACAAAAATGTTTACTTTTTTTGTATTACTACCTTGTCATGTACACAGTCGTTTGCCTGAGGCCTGGTGATTATTCATTTAAATGAAGATCACATTTCATATCAACTTTTATATCCACAGTAGACAAAATAGCACTAATTCAGATGCCTATTGTTGGATATTGAATGATAGACAATCATATGTAGCAGAGATTATGCCTGATAAGGAAAATTATTCAGGGCAGCTAATTTTGCTTTACCAAAATATAAGTAGTAATATTTTTGGACAGTAGCTAATGGGTCGGTGGGTTCTTTTTAATGTTTCTACTTAGATTTTCTTTTAAAAAAATAAAAACGAACAAAAAAAAATTCTAGGACTATAGATGATGTAATACCAGCTAAATCCAAACAATAACCCAGTGGAGGGTTTTAACATTATTCATCTAAGATGTTTGTATTCATGTTAAGATACTACTACATTTGAAATGGGCAGAGAACACCTGATGACTGGTATGTCAGCCCAGAAGTTTCAAATAATTTTAGAAATCTCTTCTTATCCTTATTTGAAGTGCCACTAATGGACAGCTGATACTTTGCAGCGGCTGTTCTCTTGGGTGTAAGGAATATGCTGTGGACGTTTACCCCACTCTAAGGCAATTTAAAGTTGGAAAGACATGGTCGATGGTGGGGGAAGGGGTTAGGATAGGGTGGGAAAGTGGGCTTAGGAATTTGAAGAACAGGAAGTATAGTAATAAGAGTCTTGGAACTATTTTGAGGCAGATCAGTACTGGCGCCTAGGGAATGCACCAGGGTTCAGTGTTCCATTTGCACCCTGTAAACCACAAATAACTAGCTGTATCTGAAAGCCGTTTCTGCAATGGCAGCTTGAGTTCTAGGAAGAACTAGTGGCATCTGCAGTCTGGTCCAAGGAACAGCCAGTGGTCTGTGTTTCTTTCAGCCATTACCTAGTTTCAGGCTTGTGGTACTGATTCTGTAATGCTGTCGTCCAACAGCCAGAGAGGCTAGTTCAGCCAAAGAGAAGACCCTACGTAGGTTGCAAAATCCAGCCCCTAAGGAAGTGTAGTCATTGGTTAGAGTTCCCCATTAACCTTACAAGTATGTTTAACCACGCCATGCCCCCCATGCCTGTGGGAGGCTGAACAAATAAGGGTCTTACTGATCATTTACCTTTGATCCCATAAAGCTGTCCTCGCATTAGAATCTTATACACCGAAATGGCCATCGATTTAGACCATTGGTTTAGCATACCCTCTCCATGAAACCAACCCACATCCCTTCCTGTTCAGACCTCCTGACTCTGAGACAGACTGTGGATACTGGGCGTGATCACTAGGACCATAGTAACATTAAACATTCATGGGCAAATTTGCAGGAAACTCGTTATTTGAAAGGCAGAGAGAATCATACGGTAGCATCTGAGACGACCGTGACTCTCTTTGGCGCACGGCTCGGGAAGACGGCTGAGCTGACGCTGCACACTTCCCAGGTGAGCTCCCTGAAGCTGCGCTCCCTCGCAACTGGAGCAAACGAATTTAACTGAGGTCCAAAATATCCACCCTTTCATTGGCCTTCTTCCTCCGTTTCTAACTGCATTTCCTTTCCATTTGGAATCAAGGGAGTGTGGCCTCTTTCTAAGTCACTTAAAATTGTTGTCTAAGGATCTGCTGCCTCGATTATGACACTTCAATTTTGCACTGTCAGAGATTCAAGAAAAATTTCTATTCTTTTTTTTTTTTGCATCCAAATGTGCCTGAACTTTTTAAATATGTAAATGCTGCCATGTTCCAAACCCGTCTTCAGTGTGTTTGTACAGAGCTGTGTACCCTGGAAACGATATACAACCCCATGAGCTGGTGCCTAAGGCACAGACCCCTTTGCATTCACAGAGAGGTCATTGGTCATAGAGACTTGAATTAATAAGTGACATTATGCCAGTTTATGTTCTCTCACAGCTTATAAAAACAATGCTTTTTGTGCACTACATATTCTTCAGTGTAGAGCTCTTGTTTTACGGGGAAAGGCTCAAATGCCAAGTTGTGTTTGATGGAGTAATATGCCCCTTTGCCAATGCATTCTATTACTGATGTGATTCTGTTTTGTTGCAGCTTTGCTTTGTTTAATGCACACTTGTTAACCTCTTTTGCACCTTAAAAAAAGTAAAGAATCCAATGGGATGCTCAAGCACCTTAAACAATTTTCTCTACCTATTTGATGTTCAAATAAAGAATTAAACGAAAGACAAGTTTACTGGTCTTTTGTGTGTGTGTGTGTGTGTGTAAGCGTGTGTAAGCTGCCTAAGATCGAGGTGATGACATGCATCTGCAGAGCACGGGGAATCCAGACGATCAGTCTGATACCAGGTTCCCCTCCCACCCCTGCCCCTCCCTGCCAGGCCATGTGTAGCCACTGGAGTCAGACAGACCTGGCCTCACTTCTTGGCTCTACCACATACAAGTTTACGATCACTGGCCAGGAATTTTCAGAGCCTCCACGTCCTCATCAACAAAATGGTGATAGTAACCCCTAATTCCCAGGGCGGTTGTGAGGACTACATGAGGTGCTCATTAAAACAGTAGTTGTTTTCTAGTGCCTAATCCCACCCCCTTCTTTGTGAGGGAGAAGAAAGCAAGCTTGAGAGGACTTAGCTATGAATGAACAAGTAAAAGTCAAAAGATTTATATGATCTGAAGAGAAACCAGAGTATTGAATGAACGAGTGAATGGGTGAATGAATGATCTGAAATTTACAAAATTTTTCAAGAACTTCTCCCCCATTTTGCAGGTGAGTCAGGAAAGACTGATTCATCCCCATCCGATCCCAGCCCTAGTTTCTGTTTCAGGACTCCCTTCCCTTTGCAGAGCTACCTGCCTGTTCTCCTTTCCCCATTTTCTCTGTGATTTAACTGATGAATTGTGGGTGGGGAACGTGACTTCCTGAGAGGCACCACCCTACTCACCCTGGCTCTGCAGCTGGATTCATCAGTTGGAATCCTTATTCCACCATTTATTGTATGACTGTGGGCAAGGTAATTTCCCTGTGCCTCAGTTTCTTCACCTGTGAAGAGGG